CCTCGGAAGGTGCGTATGTCCACGGAAGTTGCTATATATCTGTATTTTTGTCCTCGCAACATATAGCAATCCAAGTACACACACACCCACACACACACACTAACTGCAAAGACTCTCATTATGTGCTTCGCACATCGGAGTCAATAAAAGATGTATGTTATTAAAGGCCAATCAGAAAGCGGGTGAAAAAGTTCTAGCTGAATCATGCTAATGAATGTTGATCTGAACAGCCAATCAGAAAGCTGGTGAAGAAATTCTAGCTGAATCATGCTAATGAGTGTTGATCTGAACAGCCAATCAGAAAGCTGGTGAAGAAGTTCAAGCTGAATCATGCTAATGAGTGTTGATCTGAACAGCCAATCAGAAAGCTGGTGAAGAAATTCAAGCTGAATCATGCTTATGAGTGTTGATCTGAACAGCCAATCAGAAACTTGGTGAAGAAGTTCAAGCTAATCAGAAAGCTATTAAAGATGTGCTTGTAATAGAACAAATACAGTAATTATATTCATCCTGGTTGTCATTGAATTACAAGAGATTGCAGTAAGACGTCTGGTAGGCAAAAGGTAGCTAAATAAGTTAGTCTTACCAACTACATGTTTAGTGCCCATCTTATCAAATAAATTATTAATTTTATTATTCACCCAGTGGACTCCAGTATTGAAAGTTCTTAATCCTGACAAGTTTTGAAGATACCCTAACAATATGGTTTCCCAATTTAAACAGCTGATTCAAATTACTGAAATTACCATAAGTAGCATAATTTACCTTATATGGAGATTGCATCACATGATCAGAAAAATAAGCTCTGATTGGTACAAAGATATAGTTACTATTACTACCTGTCTACAATGAGCTACACTAGTGAAAAGAGCAATTAAATGAAAAAAAACAGAATCTGACGTACCCATAATGCCGGCAAAGATATTCCCAAAAATAAATGATCCGATGCATATCCACGTAATCACATAGAATGTTGCCTTCAGGTCTACAACTTTACGCATATCTGTAAGTAACTTATACCACTGGTCCAACGTAAAGAGTTGAAATAACGTCACCAGTGCTCTGGGTAAGGAACTACAGTAACATCATAAGAGTACACATAAAGTTAGGACACCTATACACACACACATAGCAGTCAGCATAATTTCACCGTACAAACTGCCAGAATTGTTTTGCTATACTGCTGCTCATGCTCAGATTAGATACTCCAGTGCTGGGCAAGTTTTCTGTGGAGCTGCATACTCCCCTTCAACAATCAGTACATCTGTGAGAAAGGCTCAAATTTTAATTGGTGAATTTAACACTAAGGTAAAATTGCGTGACCTGAAGACAGATTTCGAAATTTCCGAATGTTCAGAATCACAGTACACCGCTCGTCCGTGTTTGCAACTTTCAGTGTAAAAAATCCCCTCAAATAAAAGTGCTAGTGTCTTTCAACTAGCTCATATCAGCCTCTGAAAATTTCCACACTATTTTGCCTGAGCTGGAAAAACAAACATGCAAATTATTTTTGGCTATAGCATAATATTTCCATATTTTTGGGTTTATTTTCTCTGCAAAAATCATTTTATTCAACTGGTAATCCATGTTTCACAGCTGTCTTATATAGTTCTTATAGCTGTCCCCTTTTCTCCCCCTCACTATCTTTTAAAAACTGTTTCAACTATGCTACTGACTTCTTGTGTGGTTGTCTGTCTATTGTTCTTTTGTTTTTTTATATTTTTGTCCTACCCTCCATATTGCTAGATACTAGGGTATGCATGTGCAAAAATAATTACTACATGTTTGTCAGTAACTCAAGACTTAAATGTATCTTTACCCAGAATACATTGCTACTTACCTAAAACTGTCTTTGTAAAGTAAGTCTTCCCGATCAGAACGTGAATATTTTTCGAAGAAATAAACCCCAGCAATAGCAAAAATGTACGCACACAAAAGTAATAATATCATAATGAATGTCATTGCCTGAAAGAAACGAAATAGTATCAGAATTACTCCAACAGAATTAAAACTCTTTCAAACTATGGAAACACAGGTTATGCGGTAACAAGATATTTTTCAAATATTTTTTCAAAATCCCCCTTATTTTATTTAACCATATTTATTAAGGATTGACCATTCAGTTTCTTCAAAATGGAGTTCTATGATTCCAAATAAAGTTCTTTGGTAGGTTAAGGTAAAGGGTGGTGTTGTTGGACATTGTTTGTTTACATGAAATTCGAACACATGCTGCGTGACGACCTCTGCCCTTTATTGTCATTCCGCAATGATCTATTACTTTATCGGTACTCGTCGAGACAAGAATACTTTCATTTTTTTTACGTTCACAGAGGACAGAAACAGTATACAAGAGTGATAATTTGTCCGTGGTGCAGCCAATCATGGGAGACAAATCTCCCTGATGCTAGATGGCAGGTACCCTATAAGTAGACAATGACCGCCATACAGATATGAGGGCGCTATTCCATATAGAAGTCATACTGTACTAGTTGTTAATAGGTACATACCTCGAATGCCTTGGTAATTGCCAGTGCAATGAGTCTAGCTTGGCGAAATCTGGACACCATTTTGAGTGACCGCAGCACTCTGAAAACACGCAGGTTGCTAACAACGACAGTGAGGTCCTTAAAACCGCCCGTAGTTAATAGAATAATCTCAGGAATAAATGACTATGGAAGGAAAAAACAGAACAAGCTTGAAACAAAAGTGTATTTTGAGTAGATTACAGTAAATTTATCAGTGTTTTGGTACAATAACAAATATGCACACTTAACACATCTACTGCTGAACGCCTCCATAGAAAATCATGGATTGCTGATACTGTAGCAAGATCCAGTAGAAAACCAGCAAGAACATCAGCTACAGATTTGAAAGTAGACGACAGAGCACCTCACCAGAAACAAGAACTGTGTGTGTTACTGGTGGTGAATGAAATAGAGACCACATTTTTTTACCACCACAAAAAGAACAAAATGTGTGGAATTAAATCATCGCGACATGAAGTGTTCAAGTCCCTTATGCAAAACGACTCAAACACACATTGCATGACAGTGGTGCAGCAACTATAGCTTCTACATAGTAGAACATCAACATACCCCAACGGTAACGATAAAGTCAAATATATTCCATCCATCCTTCCAAAACAACCAGAAATTATCAATCCACTTCAGTATGATTTCAAACATAAACAACATCAGAGAACAATAGTCAAAAATATCCAATGCTCTTTTCAACACCTCCAGACTTGGATCGTTACGGTCAGAGATTTCTGAAAATTAATAAATAACTGTAAATTTATAAATTCATTTAAAATGTCATTGTGCGTTCAAATTTGGTGTAAACAATGTTTTTCGCATGCATTGTATATGTCACATGCAGCCCATATTTTATAATATGGTGCAATAGCAAAACTCTTTGAGTAACTTTAATAGCCAAAACTCAAACCTGTAAGGTATAGTCTTCATGAGTTACACTGATAAAAACCTGATATATTGCACTATTTATCGACTCAGTTATGGGATTTATTGTAGTGTAGTCAATAAATCCCATCATGCATTGCTCTTCAAATTCTGCTTCAGATGCTCACTAAACACTAAACTAACCTAGAAAGTTGATAATGTTCAAAGTTTGCCTGGATGCAGTAGTAACATGATTAAAATAGTCATCCAGTAAATTCATATGCTAAACAAGGAATAATTCAAGCCAGGTGTAATGGAAAATATTGATTTTGTTATATATATTTTGTTATATCTTCGAACGTCGAATAGAGAAACCAACAGCGGCTTGAAAACACCCTAATATTATTTATTTTAGCGAATTTTTAAGTTTTCCATTATATACAATGTGATGTTCTTTCCCATAATGCATTGTGTATACGTGTGGTAATATGATAAATGGGCAAAATTTTAACTCGAACTGTCCAGAAGAAAAAAGACATACAAACCTGACTGAATTCCTAATGCAATGGAATTTGCTAAAATCAAAGCCAGCATAAAGTTCTGAAACAAAGAACCTGACAGTCTGTTAAGGTAAACAGTTACCTTGCAGACGTTACTCAGTGTGTGTTATTCGTCATTTTTGGTAGATTCAAGTGCAATCCCACTTTGGCAATTCAACATCTCACTTATATCTACTGCACCTGAGAACACACTCTATCCTCTATATTGTAGCATATGACAAACTAATAAAATTTCCAATTTATTACAAATAGGTTTGTGTACCTTTTTTTTTTATTTTTAAAAAAAATGTAGTTTCTGATGAATCTTTTTTTATCCTAAGTTTCAATAAAGTAGGAAATATTTTCATAATTGAACAGGTAATGTACACCTGAATGCAGTTGGATGAACAAAACAGAAGTTCAGATTTTTTTTTAAAAAAAAGGATACTTTCCAACACAAAGTGAGCCCACATATCTAATGGAGGGCTTTTTCGGTTTTTATTTTTCACTCTGTTTTTCCGTCTGTCATTCATTTTTATTTCTGCTTTGTCTTTGCTGGAGTACACCTGGAATTTGACTACACCACTGGAATTAGAGCGCATGATATTTTTCAATATTTCCGGATCTGCAAAGGTGAATCAAAACAGTATACAAAGTAATTAAATATCAAGATATCAAAATCAACTATCGACGTTGAGGGCGTCTCAACGTTTCTGAAAAAAACATAAACTTTAAAAGTAGTTTTTACTGATATTTTCAACAAGCCAGTGATGATTCAGCACATAACACTTACTTGTTATGTTTCCAAATAGCGAGCAATCTTACCGGTGATATCTTTAGAATAGTATTTAGGGGCAGCCATTTGCCCTCTTTCGTCTAAACTATCCAAAAGATGAAAATCTTGAATTAGCTTGGATCGGAATAACTCCGCCAATGAGCATAGTTCTTCTGTATCCTCAGCGGGAGAAGAGTGTTTTATAATACTGTGTATACTCATCTCAAATACACTTGAAAGTTAGACTTTGGGTTCAAAGTGATCTGCTCGGAAACTTCAAGCGATGGGTGAATCGTGGATTTAGGGGATTCAACTCGGACTGCTACTGACACGGTCGATGTGCCTCTTCAAGCTGAAGTGTATTACATAAGCTTAATCTCATTCCATCGAAGCACGTCGATATTAGTAATATTTGCAACTGTAAGTAACCGCTACGCGAGAGTTGATTGAAAAGATCGTTGCAGCTCGCACGACCTTATTTTCATCTCGTGACGATTTTGCAAGTTTCGCGGCCGAGTGAGGGCGCACTATCGCGGATTTAAAGAAATTTCTATTTGAACTGCGAACCGACCTCGTATTTTGAGAAAAAGTGTTTGCTTATTTTATTGTGGTAAGGTCTTGTTTTTTGGATTTAGCTGCATTTCCTATCAGACATAGGTTTCTTCGTGTCTTTTGTCGGAAATTACGTATATATTTTTAGAATATGTTGCCATACTTTTTGCAAAGCAAATTGCAGACTATCATATGTACACTTATAATTCATTGGACACACATTAGATATAACGTAGTACTGTAAAATGACTAATTTTCACTGGGTTTAAATTTCACTGATTTACCATTTCGGGCATATTCAGTGGGTTTTAAATTCACGGTTTCGTCATTTAGATAATGTGTTCTATGCTAAATTTTACATATTCACTGTGTTTTAATTTAGCGCATTTTTCCAGTCAGCGAAATAAGCTAAATTAAAACCCAGTGAATAATTACTCCTTTACAGTATATTATTAGGAAAACGTATATCCATTATATCCCAAGACCAAGTTAAAAATTTGAGTAAACATTTCACTGCTTATATATTATATACTAGTATATATATGTTAACATGACAACCGAATCATTGACTAAAAGTTACTTTCAGCAAATAAACAGTAAAGATAGACTAGTATATGCAATAAATTACCATGACAACATAATATTATACTAAATAGTGTTTAGCAGGACTGTCAGAAAGTCTTCTGTCTGCCTTGGCTTATTACGCAAGCTATTCATTCCTTCACGTTATATATTTGTCACATCATGACTAAGTCATTTCTGTTATTTAAAACCTGTGAAATTTAAATAGATGAACAACAAAAAAACGATCTTGTCATATTTGAAAAATAGTTCACAAAAGGCCAGACTGTCTACAATTTCTCTGGTCTAATGTTTTTTTTTTTTTTTTTACTCAAATGATTTAAATGGCGGTGGTTGTCGTGCCGCGTCCTGTTCGATGTGGGACTCATAGCGACGTACACAGTACACAACGCGTGCAAAATACATTGTTTATTTACATGAAATTCGAACACGCGCTGCGCGACGACCACCGCCCTTTAATCAAATACCTCAGTGCGTTTGCGAAAATGCTGTATACATTTCAAACGAGGTCTTTCGCAAACGCATTACGATATTTGATTGAATAATTTTAGTTGACCAGAGAGATTATTGACAGTCTACCATATTTGCAAAGTATTGCGTTACGAAGTATCGTGTATGTTGCTTCATTAGAGTATATTAGTTCAATAAATCCAATACACACTTTTGTCCAATCCCTTGCAACAGAATTAAAGAAATTTTGGTAATGTAGGATGACCAGAAACAGAATATTTTTTGTAGATTATTTTGTTTTCATCATCAAAATCAATGATTAGAAACGAACAGTGCCTCCTTGTACGTCATCTTTCGGAAACGATAGCTCAGACATCAAATTTATGTTTGCTAGTTTATAGGTCCCATCATTGAATAGCAGGACACAGTAAGCTGGCATCGGTGTATACACCCAGCGACACCGATGCCAGCCGACTGTGAGCAGGAGCAAGCATGTAAGCGGGGTATTGGCGTGATCACTTCGCGATTGGGTGGTATTAGCTTTACTGTGTGTCTCTTGTTATGCACTTCTTCAAGCAACCTATCTCTGCTGGTATTCCTGCAGCACCCACTGTGCGACTTCCAAAGGCCCGGGTTTTCTGTGAATAACATTGAGGATCATTGTGCTCCAATGCCTTGAAAATTTACAGGTCACAATGAGTCTCGTGATGACAATATTTGTTGTTTGTCTTCGTGCCAGGCGACATTGAATGTAACTTTGTTGTCTCTCCAGTGCTGACACATGATTAATTTTGCTACAGAGACCATATTCATGTTTGAGACTACATGACAGGGCTGTGCGGCCATCTCCCTGTCAAATGACAATCCAATGCGCTATCCTGGCGTCAACCATGGAGGTAGAAAAGAGATTTCTTTTCTACCTCCATGCGTCAACCTAGCCCTGCGTACAGTGCTGTGTGTACGGGGACGCGTTCGGTTGATACTAGTAGTAGATGTCTCCACCACAGCCCTGCGTACCTCCATAGACAAAGTCCGGGACTTTGAAAAATATAATTTTTTTAATGAAATAACATGCCCAGGTACCAAAAATGATGATTGATCACCAGATATATCCAGAACTCCCAGTTCGGAGTCCAATTGTGGATGAAATCGGCTACTTTGCCCTAAAAACAAACACATTCTCTTGCGTGAATGAAATTAAAAATGGCGGCACTTGGTGGATAATTTCTCCGGTACCCACGCGTTTACATTTTGTCCGTCTTTACTAGTCGCTTTTTAAAGACATTTCAGTTTTGTTAATGGTTGTTACGGGTAACTATCGTCATTTCAACCGCTTTCGGTTGGGAAACTACTTATTTTTTAACTTGCGCACCAATTACGGTGCGCTCCCGGACTTTGTCTATGGAGGTACGCAGGGCTGTGGTGGGGACATCTATCAACCGAACGCGTCCCCGTACACACAGCACTGTACGCAGGGCTAGCGTCAACCTGGCTCGGTCGAACACAAGCATCTCCAGAGTCGCATTCGTTAGTGAATGAAGCACGACCAAAGCAATTGGCCTTCCAATTGCGTCTGTGGCACACTCATCCAGGGTAAACTAGAGGATGGTCCAGTCTGGAGAAAAGTGGAGACAAGCATTGTGCTTGCAGTACACAATCATTGAAATATGTGCTCAGGAGCAAGACCCTGTTATTAAAGCGGGAGGGGTCGTCACCTGCGCACGCGTGGGAATTGAGTCCCAAGAGACGGTAACAACACACGCTAAAAACGCAAAGGCTCATGGGTAGGCGCTTGTTTGTAAACAATGACACGCTATGGCCATCTGACGCATGCGCAGGTGACGACCCCCCCCGCTTTAACAGCAACAATTTCTAGGTCATCACTGCACTTTTTAATATAAACCCTTACTAATGAAAGCAGTATACTACTAAATAAATATCTGTATGTAATCGCCAAGTGTTGTGTAGTGTTTGATGATCATATGCAGTTATATTCTGACTAAATTTCCTAATACTCTCTTTCACTCCGCTATGAATAGCAGCTAGCAAACAAGCTTGACAACAATACATTGAGAATGAGCTCAACATTATTGTACTGGCAGGTTTTACAGTTATTGCACTTAGGTTCAAGCCTAAGTTTATCTAACACAAAAACAAGGGAAGTAGTACTTGGCAATGTAAGTTTCTTTCCACAGTCATGGGGTAAATCTCTCCTACATGTCCCATTCAATAAATCTGGCAACACGTTTAGAATCAAGACATTTATGTGACACCTACAAACAAGTTCCCACTGAAGATTCATTCATGCTAAGGTAGACAAGGCAAATACCCAGCCGCGATGACTGTGGGGTTAGCTTTTAGAACTACCTGTCAGACAACTCCAGCCCAGATGAAGTCATTTTTTAATGTCCGTAGTTTTGCAGAGTAGACCATCTAGGTTCATTCTGAACCACAACGTGCATGACTTATATGCATGTACATGTATCTATATGTTGATTGTATAGCTCAAGACTTGACTTGCACACAAGTCAGTGTGTGCCGATGCTCACAACATGTTATTTCAAGACAAATGTTAACAGAGTAAATCAGTAGAAACAATAGCACAGCCTTCAAAGCTCATCTTGTGATGCATATAAACTGTAAAACAATAACCAAGCATCTTTGAATGTAAGCTTACTCTTATTTAATTTGAAAATGTACTGTCTTTGAATTAGCCTTAGGGTTTAGTGGGGCTAAAGGTAGCCCAGAGTTTGGCCGTTGGTTTACGGGCAGCTATGCAAAGTATCACAGCCGAGTCTCAGGGCTAGGCTAAAGGTGATGAAATGGGAATGTATGCACAGATGATTTTTTTCTCTGGTTGACCTTCAGATCCAATTTAACCATAGATAGTATAGTATACTGTCTATGATTTAACATACAGACTGATATATTGTGAACATGTGATGGCTTACATCATGACACTGCATTTGTGAGATGCTTCAACAGATTTCATTCATGAACATTATGGTATTATCATTATTGCAGGACAGCTGAAAGTTGTCCATTTGGTATTGTTAAACGTTGATAGTAATACCCTGAAAACCCCTTCTTATTTACATGTGATAATGGGACAGAGAAGGTTCAGTGTATGACAGATATCCTGGTGAGAGGACTGCAGTGTGTACCAAAAGAATGCATTGGTAATGCACTAAATCCAGGAGAGCTTGACACCATGTCTGTCTGGACCAATACGGGGAATACCAGTGTCGTACAGTTTGTGTTCTACATGATCTTGTCTAACACAACATATGAGCAACATAGGGCATGAACACAGGTACTTGGTAAGAGTAGACAAATTGATCTATCTTTGAATGTTCTACAGTAAAATAATGCCATCCTCTGTGGTAGCGTCATTATGTGATTTGATTCAGGCATCAGCCATGGGGTTCAAATGTAGTGGTATGGATACCTGTTATGCTACCAACAAGTTACAAACCTGGCTACATAAGTGTGATCTTGTTCTATCTTGAAAATTGACAAGGCATGACTGTTGATTCTGCACCTAATACTAGATTAAGGTCAGGTTGATGGTTTAAACCCCAATCGGCTCAAGTGGTTGACTTTCTGCTCACCAGATTCTGCTGGACTAATATATGGTG